CATGACAAACACACTTTGGGAATGTTTTTATGAAAACGAAGAATTTTTAACAAAAAACTTGTATTTATAAAAAGATATCGATATGCAGTTTTCACCATTGATCAACAGATACAAACATCAGTTTTTTTTCTATCTAGGACGGGAATAGGACTTTCCATTTATAAGTGTTCGATCTGGCCCACCCTGTACATACATAATCTTACCCGTGATTAATTCTTATTCAACCTCGAACAAACCGTCTCGGGATAGGACTAGTGACTAGTATATATTTTCCTGACTATTTTATTTTATTTCATCAATTCTATTGTTTATACCAAAGTTTACAGAATTATACTGAGCAGTGGCGTAATTAAGATTCATTCCTGGGGGGGGGGGTCTAGGGCCAATATCCAATACGTAACTTACGTAGGTTTCAATAAATGTGTGCATCATTTGGAACCAATAACAAAATAAAAAAAAGTATCGAAAAATAATAGAATGATATCACATATCAACAGGTACAAACATTGAAATAGGAACAAAAGAAAAACAAAATAACAAAAAAAAATCGACCAATTCAGTTACTGAAGAATAGAAAAATATAAACTGTAGCATTTTTTTTTGTTGGAATGAAGAGACTACTTTTGGGGAGATGGAGAAAACGAGAAAAAACTACCTATTCATTCAATATACAAGGCGATTCAAAATTCGATGTAAATATGTTGAGTACGTATTGTTGTTCATATAATGGTGTAGCCTAAAATGCACCTCCTTCGAGCTAAAATCACTGCGAGTTGGTTGAGAAACAAAAGATTCTCTGAAATTGTGATAATAATAACGAATCAAGTGCAAGTATTGCAGTACCGCACGCCTCTGAAATAGCAGTCTCAAATGCGTTCCGACATACGATCACCTTCGTATGCAAGCGTTCGAAACCAATGCAAAGCGCAAGATCGTACGTTTCCAATGACAATGCCTAACTATAACCTACGATTTTCGTTCGGAAGGTTCTAAAAAATTACAGATGAAATTCTCATGATATTTCTTATACTCATGTCTATTCTTTCCATTATCAGAATTGTTTACCAGATTGTTTCGGTTTTTCAGACAGCTCTGGGGAGGGGTCCAGACCCCATGGACCCCCTCCTTAATTACGCCACTGATACTGAGCGCCAACACAATATTGACAACATTCCATGTAAGGATATCATTCGTTTTGGAAAAAGATCGTCTTTCTTAATTCTTAGAATTCAACCCTATATTCGGGACCATAATGAAGAGGACGAAACTTCCGTTTTAATGTGAAATTTCTTGTGCATTCAACTGTTTCGGAACGGCCTCGTATTCCTTGAGCACTCCCACGGCACTTGACGCTTTACCAACTTTACCAATTAATATTTTTACAATTCTGTACTTTATTATCCTTGTTATTATCCTTGAAGGAGTTACTCCTCTTCAGATAATCGTTCCGCAGATAAAATTTTTAGTTGAGAAGGAATGAAGAGATTAAGATTTATGGATCGCGGGATTATGGCGAAGGGGTTATACAGGGTCTATCAACGAAAACATTATTTTTAGGTTCGCCGATACTCAACCCGTCAATTTCTATTTATTTATTTTAGAAAAGGAATACAAACGGGTCTAACCCAAAAACTATTCACAGGTATGTCATATCTCATCATACATATATTTTTACTGAACAAATCGAATATCAATTTCAAAGACGATGAAAAATCAATTATTGAAATAATGAATGATAAAGTAGGTATATAGTGTAATAGATATGCGATAAAAAATGGTCTCAGGTGGAAATAATTCCCACAATTTTTTTTTTGCTTTTTTCAGTCCAGAATGCATAGAATAACACATATGAGAAAATATAGATTGAAACATGTGTGCAAAGTGAAAATACAGTGTTTCCAATATTCGTTAATTCGTTAATACGTATAAATCATGAACCTAATGAAAATGGCATATTTGGCGTGTAACAGAAGTTCATTCATTATTTTCAACTCCCTCGATTGGAATATTGGTACCTTCCCGAACAATTATTGCACAATACTGTGCAAAAAATTTTTACATCTGGTTCCACAAGGTTCATCCACTTCAGTTTTGCAAGAACTTCTGTACGTCATCATATGATACAGAAAACCCAAGCTTATGAAGTTCATCGACAGGTAACCGAGATCGATAATCTCGATGATACTGCACACCAACACCTAGACGAATTGAACTTATGATAGATCGTGGCTTTGCAGCTTGCATTAGTGCCTGTTCAATTGAATTTTTCGCCAAACTTGAGGATTTTTTGTTGATTGTTATATCCAAGGATGTTTTCAAAATGTCGGCTGAAAGCTTATTATTTTCCTGCTCGGAACTTATCTCTTCTGGTGAAGGATAAAACTCTAAGGATGTTCTCATCAACTTGATTAAATTCTTAATCAGTTTAGCTGTTGCTTCAACTATCCGAAATTTTTTAGCATCTGGGTCTTCTGAACACTTTTGTCGCTGATAATTACAAACTATATTGGCAACTGATTTCCCTGTTACGATCATATTAGCTCTATCTTTTTGTCTCAATATCATAATGTCATCCGAGAAATATTCTTCTATTTTTTTATGCATACGACGAACAGGTAAGGTTCGATATTTTCTGGCAGCAGCTCTGCCATTTTGTCCAGCAACTCCTGAACTGAAATTGGTTCATCATTTTCCTTGAGCCACCTGTATATTTCTAAAGAGGCATCTTCTTCATTTTTATCAGAAGGACGTCCTGCTAACTTTGTCTGTTCATTGGGAATATCATTTTGATGTATCTTAGGAATAGAGTCGCCTTTTCCAAAATTCACACTACATTTCTGATTATACAGAGCATCTGCTGCTGGCAAGTCGCGATAACGGAAAGAAGACGTGCAAGGACATTTGATGATCAGAAATCGTTTCTTGCATCACACACATCAATAAAAGTTTGTCTAAACGCGAAAGTTCGTACTGGTAAAATTGCAGATTTAATTGTTTTCTCAGTTTCCTTGATGAATTGGCCACAAAACAAGCAATTATCTTTGAATGCAAATGTCGGCAGCTCAGATCACAAAGCTCTGTTGCTGCTGCTGCTGATACCTGCTGCTACTAGTTGATGTTTCTCTATCAGGATCTGATTTAAACCTGAGATCATTCTTCATCTTGTTCGGATTTACGTACAAACGACGACATTCGAAGTGAACAATTAGAGGATGAATAGGCACTGGTTCCAAGAGTTCAATTATTTTGTCTTGCTACGACTTGCTAGTACTTATAATTCCTTGGACACCTCTAGCAGTCAATTTAACACAAACACACAAACTATCATCAGTACTTGACGAAAATAATAAACATTCGTTATCTTCCATCGCTGCTTTTAATTCACTATATTTAGCTATACCTGGAATAATATATCAAATAATGGAACCATCCATTCACGATCACAAAGAATAGTTTCAATCACATACCATGATTGTTTCACACCTCGACACGAATTTTGAGATCTGCTGACCATATTATCATTTTCAGGAAGATTATGGAATTCGTTTGAATCTTATCCTGAAGATCCTAACATAGGTAGCGGAACATGCATTGAGTTGTGAAACAATCATTTCGGTTTTAAGGGGTCGAATGAGGCTTCAGGAAATGAAAACTGCGTTTTTGTGGAAATTATTTCCACCCCAATTCCTCCAACTGCTCTACTAGTACAACATATAGTGATTTTAGTGTGTTGATACAAACAAAGGTGAAATAATTTTATTCAGTACATATTGAAACATATCAAAACATACTGTCTGTTGGTTTATCGAGGAGGTGGTACATTCATTATTCCAGATATTTTGGGATTTTCTCTCCTCGTTTCTATAAAATGAATATATGAATATTATTTCAATATTCGAGTAAGGACAAATCAGATGACTTGCTCCAAAATGTCACTGCGTTTAAAGAATGTTCCTATCATTGAGCCTAAAAGAAAAAATCACTAGCTTGTCAGTGACAATTTGTATTGAAAAAGGTTTGGAGAAGAGAAATAAAGGTACCTATATAGAAAAAAAATCAAATTTCCACTTAGCTTTGGACGTTTCGGGAACAAATCTGCTCCCGTTCTCAACATGAATATGGTTATTTGAATAGCAAATTCGTATCTGTCTTGAAACTTTTCAGTTCTCAGTAACAATTGTTGACGTTGGCAATCAAATGAGTTACAGGATGTGTTCATTAATTAATCTTGAATTCACCATTCTCAATTTTAGATTTCAGTAGTAAATACGATGTATCTATATCAACTGAACAAGAAGCATTGCTATTGTCTCCGTTCAGAAGAATGCAAGCAGATTCCATGATTTTTCTCTTCTGGTTGTTATCATCCTTTCCAATGATTTTATTCCATTATTCCACTCTGCCATATTATGTTGTCCATCTCTAGTAAGGATATGTTCAGCTAGTTTAGATTTGTCGATGTGTCTTTTCTTTATATTGTACTTTTGTTCCTTCGTCCTTACTGAAAGAGGTCTCGTGGTTTCACCTGTATAAAACTTTCAATATGTTTCAAATTGGGGGGACAAATCAGAAGATTTGCCACGAAATGTCACTGCGCTGAAAATTGCACTATCAGAAAAATCCTATCGATAGTCAGTAACACATTGTTTGAAACGTGTATAGGAGACAATTTCTACAAAGAAAAGTCATTTAAAATATGCTTCTGCTGATGATGGACTATTGATAGTGCGAAACATGTTCAGACACTGATTATTCAATTAATAAATTTGTGGAGATGACTTAGTGTGTCTTGTTTATGAATCTATTTATTCCACTTTGAGATGGACTTTTACCATAGATTATTTTACATACATTGATATTTTCATAACTATCACAGATTGTTCAGCAACCACTTCCTGTATACTAGTGTACATTCCAATAATATATTTATGGAGATGATATTCTTCACATCCTTTTGATAGGAACGCATTGTTGCTGATAAATATCTCACAGTCCAATATACTTCCACTTCGGTTATCATTTTGATTAGTGTCATGTGAATTAGCTCCTGATTCTGATTCCAACTGGAGGTGAGTAAATCAACTTTCTTAGAATTGTTTATCAGTGATTTTTTTATTTCTTGTACCTTGGATGTTATCTAATGGGCTCTCAGTCAACGGCCGATGTCAGCGACAATCGTGGGTAATATCCCGAGACCATGACAAATAGCCGACTATTATTTTCTTCATAATTCTATCGAGAGTACCTTGTATTTTGACAATTTGATGAAACCATAAGAACATTAATAATCTGAATAACTCCCGAGAGCTTTAGCTCGAGGGAGTTATTCTATGATTATTTATGTTCGTATGGTCGAATTGAATTGTCCCAAAATACAAGTTACTCGAGATGAATTAACGAAAATAATAGTCTCCATTTGTCATGGTCGAGTGATATTCAGGAAAATTATTTCATTAACAGTATAAAAATACTGGTTTATATGAGTTGCAACATTTTATTCAAGAGTCAATGCTATTTTGAATAAATTTCTTCTGAAGGCCGTCTAGGGTATTCTCATCATATCTACGTACAATTGTAATCAATTCATCTAAACTTAGAGCGAAGAAAGAATATCAACGCTATTGATAGCGTTAATATTCTTTGATTTGAGCTTCTGTACTTTCCTTTCTTGTTTGAAGAAAATATTGTAGGCTTCGCCTTTTTGCATTATGCGCAACCCTGGCACCTTTGAATTCAATATATTCAAATGGATTTGTCTTACGTTTATGTTCATTGACGTAACCTTCCTGTATATAGTTTTCCATATCAATTTCAGCTGTGTATTTCTAATATTCCTCACCATTCTCCTCACCCAATATTTTAGGATTTGGGCAATCACGAGAGATGGGGTAGTCGCACAAAATTCATAGTTTTTCTGCTGGCAAAAAACATGAATTGTTCCAGACAGACTCTTTACTCTCCTTGTTATTTTCTGACATCGATTCGCTAACATAATTACGAATTTCCGTAGTGGAAGCATAGTGGAAGTTGACCCAAAACGAGACATTTCAATTTTTGAGTGACTGATAGGTACTTATGTCAAAGTTTGACAACCATAGCACTCTTATGCTGGTGAACAGAATAGCCGCTCATATTGTTTGTTTACCTAAATAGCCGCTGATATCGCATATCATGTGACTTCAATCATGATATTTCATAGGTCCAGCCGAGTGTGAATGAAATAATCATTTTTATTATGCTAGCAAACTTATTGACATTTCTATAACAGTGAAATCAATAGTTCGAATTGAGTTGATCGATGAATATCAATAAGTGCACAATAAACTGTTGGTGTTATCATTCAGTGAATCCTTCGCGAATATAACTCAACCATGACAATAGTTATTTTCTTTACTAGGCAGAAAAATACATAAGATTTGATGCCCCTGGCAGAATTTCATAGTCAAGTCGTAGTTGAGGCTAGAGAACCATCCAAAGTATTCAATCTTCTTCTCTGCCATGTGGAACATATAATTTTTCCTCCAAATTCGTTCTAATTCCACGCAAATTCCAAATAATCCATCATTTTGTGTTCACCCAAAGTCATTGTCTCTTTAGATTACTAATTTGATTCGAATTATTACTTGAAAGCAACGAACTTTTCCTGCCTAGACAGTAAAAGTACACTTCTTCTGCCTGTTAAATGTCATTAAAAAGTCACTTTTCATGTCATTTGGAAAATAATATTTTCCCGAGCAATTTAATTTGAAACAGTTCCATTCGACCACCACTTTTATTAATCAGAGAATACCTTCCTTACTGCTTCATCCATTGAATTGGATCAATTCGTATCTTCAAGATCGCAAACAAATAGTGCTTGATGACACAGAATCAGAAGAGAAAACTGTCAACGTAGGGGTTCCCCAGGGAACAATACTGGGTCCAATACTGTTCATCATTTTTGCCAATGATATTAATTTAGCATGTACACAAGCACACAATATAATGTATGCGGATGACACAACCATGATGATCTCTGAAAACAGCATTGAAACAAAATTGCGTAGGTAATGCCAATATCGTTGCAAATCAATTTTATAAGTGGTGCAATATCAATGGTTTGTGTGTGAATATAAAAAAAAAAATTCATCTCTTTCATTTCAAGAAACGTCAATAATAATTTCTGCTCTTTAATGAGGATCAATGGCAAAATCATTGAACATTTTACGGCAACCAAATTTTTATGGGTCACTCTTGATCAGAAAATGAGCTGGAAAAACCATATCAACATATTGAATAATAGAATGAGTAGAAACTGTTTTGTAATAAGGCAACTAAAAAAAACAGTATCTCTTGACATATTACTGTTGGTCTACCATGGTCTGGTGCAGTCGAATATACTATGGTTTGATTTTCTGGGGGAACTCAAGTCACATTGACAAAATATTTATGATGCAAAAAAGAATTATCTGGTGTATCAAAGATGTCAACTAGAGAGCATCAAGCAAACAAATTTTTATTGAATTATCTATTTTACCAGTACCATCATTGTATACAGTGTGTCCATTTAGTGCGTAATTATTCGATATCTCGAAAGCCATAATCTATAAAGAAAAACTTTGAGAGAAAAACTTTTTCAGTCACTAAAGTTGCTTATTTCAAAAATATTTTCAAGATTACTGGGTGTTTTATAAAAGCGGGACAACTCGTAGACGAGTTTTTCTAAATAGAACACCCAGTATTGTTTATTCGGAATTTATTCCGCCAAGGTTTACCTTCACATCGCTGAAAAAAAAATTGAATCGGTTGCGGCGTTGCCAAGTTATGATTGATAAATCTATTTTCACCACTAATAGGCATGGCATATTCATTTATTCAACTTTTGAAAATACTTTTGGCATACGGTAGTAGCAAGTTCTCACGTATACCAAACCAGTAAATTTGCGACATGTTCTTCAACATGGTGTTCCGAGGGGTGTTCAATTTTGCAATTAGAAGTTTGCAAGATTCAGATGACATTCATTAGACTTCTTCAAATGGAACACCCTGTATTTTTATTCACAAATTCATTCCAACATCTTTCGCCTTTTCATCGCTGAAAAAAAAACCAAAAGCGGTTGCGGCGTTGTCAAGTTATGGATAATTTCCTTATTTTTACTACTATATTTTGGGTTAATTTGTACGTCATAAATTTTTCATTTATTTGTATCGTGGAAATATTGCGTTGCTACGGTATAATCCATTCATATATTTTTTCATAATAGGATAATTTACAGGCTCTCCAATTTTGAATTTGAAACAGAGTGGGTTTTGACGAATTTATCCAAAATGTAACTTTCACAGATTTTTTGCAGACTTTGAATTCATTTTACGAAATACACTTAAATTTGTGTAATGACCTGTCAAACATCGCCAAAATCAAATATGTCTTGAACTTGTTTAGAATTTTGCTCAATCCCCTCCCGAAACCCGCGTAGTAAATAAATATTGTTTATATCATTATGTCTATCTCCTTCAAGTTAAATGGTGACTCGGGTTGTGGGAATAACGACAATAAAAGTGGCCCAAATTTCAAAAAATTGTCCTTATTCTTGCAATCCAAATCTCTATTGTTTGTATTGGAGAAGTTGTTTCAAAGGCAGGCGTTGCTTTTGGCATGTTTGTTTGTTTCGCATAGGTACATATTATTTCAATCATGAGTAACAAGATTACGGAATATTTCAAATTTGGACAATGCACATAATCGCAAAAATACTTGAATGACCTATACACATAAACATAAGGAAATTACTCATAACTTGAAAACGCCGCAACCGATTTTGGTTTTTTTTTCAGCGATGAAAAGGCGAATGATCTAGAAATAAATCCATGATAAAAATACAGGGTGTTCCATTCCAAAAATTCTAACGAACGTCGTCTGAATCTTACAATATTCAGAATGTGAATTCAAGCACCCTGTAAAGGATGAACTCGCGCAAAATTACTGGATTGGTGTACGTGAGACCTTGCTACTACTGTATGCCAAAGATATTTTCAAAATGTTAATAAATGCGGCGTGAATGATGGCCCTTGGCTAACACCATCGGGCCATCATTCACGCCGCAGGCCATAATCGCCTACTTTACGCCCTTGATACCCTATTAAATACTTCAAATCTCTGTTGCACAGGTTTTTGGTACGACATGCATTTTATTCTGTAGAAGAATTTTTCCAGTGTTAAAGGGTTTTATCCATTATACATGGATTTAAATTCGGCGTTCAATGTAAATGTAAATTTTCCATTTTTTTAAGTCTTAATTATAGTTATAGAACCATTTCTCATGACTAGTCTAATAAAGTAGGTACCTGTATGTATGAACATAATATTTGTTCAAAATGATTTGTACCACTTTTATTAAATATGCTTAAATATATTTCTATTCTATTCTATTCTATTCTATTCTATTCTGGTATCGTGACTCTTAACTTCTAAAAAATCCCATTCTAGATATTCCCGATCGATAGTCATGGAGAAGAGGATTCACAGTCTGATAAGCTTTTGGATTTTCCTGTCCTTCGTCACTGTTGAATGTCTAGGAGAAGACTATAGTATAACGCAAATAACTTCCAGCTCCGGATTGTACTATGAAAAAATCGGAGATGTGCTTTTGTCAAATAACAATTGGGAGTTTGTAACCTCAGTCGACTACGATGGATATCTTGTTTTCTATGAATATCTGCACACTCAGGCACAAGAACTCCACAAGTTTTGCCAGGAATACAAATCACAGTACTGCGAAGAGAGGTATTTTTTCTTTGTTTCATCTTAAGTCAAGTAACTGTACAGGGCGAGTCAAGCTGAATGCATCGGGATATGATGGCCAAATGGTGAACTTTCTGAGGAATAATTTTATTCATGCGAAAATATGTCGATCTGGACTACATTTTGAAAATGGTGTGATGATTACAGAGTGTCTCCAGAAAAGGTGTCACATCAAAGTTTCACTTTTTTAATGGAACACCCTATATTTTATTGCATTTCTGATTTCTAAGATGGAAAATAAATTGCTGAAGTTTCCCTATACCTGGTTCTCTAAGTTTTCGAGATTTTACAACTTTTATAAAAATGTAAGGTATTAACAGAACCTTGATATCATTGAAGCACGCTAATTTAAATGTACCAATTTTCAACAGTGTACTTCGAATATTTCGAACTAATAGATGGGTCATTAGTGGTCGATAAATATTATACGGGGTGTTTTATATTGCCAGGTACTCTCACTGTAACTTCAAACTATAATAACTTGGTTAATTCAAATTATAGTTTGAAGTTACAGTGAGAATACCTGGCAATATAAAACACCCCGTATAATATTTATCGACCACTTATGCCCCTTCTATTAGCTCGAAGTATTCGAAGTACACTGTTGAAAATTGGTATATTCAAATTATCGTGCTTCAATGATATCAAGGTTCTGTTAATACCAGAAATGCAATAAAGTATAGGGTATTCCATTTAAAAAAGTACAACTTTGATATGCCACCTTTGCTCGAAACACTCAGTATTCATCACACCATTTTTAAAATGTAGTCCAGATCGACATAATTTTGCCTGAATAAAATTATTTCTCAAAAAATTCACCGTTTGGCCATCATAGCCCGATGCGTTTAGCTTGACTCACCCTGTATACAGGGTGTTTCCTAAATTGAAGGAAAAATTAAATTGGTTGAGGGGGTCCGACGAAACAAAAATAAATAAAAGCATATAATCTCCGAAAGTTCAACTAAATTTCCAACAACTACCTCTTCTCCCTTATCCTTCCTAGGTACGCACGATGTTTTTCGAACATTATAGGGATTCTCTTTCGTGCACACCAGGGGATAAAAAAATCGTGATATATCAGAAGTTGAGATATTGAATTTCGAAGTTTGTTGTCTGAAAATTTTGTAAATTATTGATCAGCGGTAAATAGCCGAGCCCAAGCGTTTGCTTTCGACATGGTCCAAAGCCCCAGAAGTAATAATGATCTGCGATGCTACCGGAAGTTCAAGAATGGATGAGGTATATAACAATTTAGAGAACAATTTTTTGTGTGATATCTGTATCATTATGTCTCTTGCAATATTGGAAACACCCTGTATAAATGGAAGTATTTTTCTGACACGCCTTGTACATTGCTATACTATTACTAAAAACGATGTACTTACCTACATTTTGCGGAGACATCTGACTGGTAAAAAATACAGTTATAACGAAAAAATTCTGTACCTACTATAGAGCTCAATAATGAGATATCCATTGTTTTAAATGTTCGAATAATTGAAATCTCTGCAATTTTATTTCTTTTTCTGATGATTATATCAGCTTTCTATCAAATATGAGGCAGTGTTTCTTGAAATACGGATGTTTCTGAATTATACCCATACACAATGTATTCCGCTTTTTATTGAAAAAGACCCTGATATCCAAGTTATTGAATTGTGGGGTATCGAAAATGCGAAGTCTGAATCTGATAAAAACATTGTTGAAAATAAGCCCAATAATCTCATTTTCCTTAATAAAGGCCTTTTTTTGTACCCTCCAACATCGCATGCCAATGGTGAATGAAACTGTTCACTCTGCTGAATATTTCATGATCTAACATACAATCAGCACCAACATTTCAGGAAAGCCGCATCATTAATAACTCGGATATTAGGGTGTATTCATGAAAACGGGACACACTGTACACATAATTCGAGTACACAAGTCTGCGCTTAAAAAGTACTCAACAGTATATCAAGTGTTACAAACGTCGGAATAGATTTTTCTTATCTAATTATCGATATCAAATTTGATAGACCAAGGCCTAGTCTTTCAGGCGAGTATTCATATGACTTAATCAATTGAAAATAAACAGTAACTTTTAGTGATGTGTTTGAAAAACTGTGTTGCCCCATAGTAATTGATCGTATCCGAAATGTCACTTTTCATATATTCAAGAAGAAAAATGAAATCAAAAATTTTGATCGACAAGGAAACGTTGACAATTAAATATGGCATTTATATGACAATGTGAAAGTCATCAATATCACCATAAAAAATGGAAAATGCAATCATAAATAATGTTTTTCAATATTTTTCACGAAAAATGAAAAATTATATTGCTATTCCTTCATAGTCACGCCACTTGTTCTTTGTCAAACCTATATTGCATCTGTTTACATATTTGATATTAGGTATATCCATCAGAGACATCCTATATAAATATATAGGAACAGAACACCATCAGAAATTCTAGAATCGAGACCCATTGAAGTTACTGATACCTGCCTTTTTGTTAGGTTCAGTATAATCAAAACTGGATTGAACAGGATAGACGAAACAGACGAAAATATGGCAAATTTTCTCGGAATCAAAACCGAAAACAGGCGAGTGAAAAGATTCTGGAATGAGATAAAGAACGCCTTTTCAGCCATAGGTAGAGGGATCATTACTGTTGCCAGAACAGTTTTCGGTGGTGGAAGTAACCAACCAAATCTTGCCATATACGACCAACAAATAGCAGGTCTACAATCTGGTCAGAGAGATCTGGAGAACAAGCTCAACCAACAGACAACACTATTCCTAGTCGACGCTGAAAGGAAGAATCAGCAAATCCAGTGGTTGGAGAAAACTCAGGGGGAAATACAAAACAGAATCGGATCTCTCGAGAACGATTTCAAAAAGGATGCAGCCGAGAAAGCGAAACAAATAAAAGAACTGTCGAATATGTTAAACGAAACAAACAACAAACTGAAAGAGCAAGAGAAAAAACAGAAGAAATTGGAAGGGGATGTCGAAGGTATCAAGAACAAAATTCTGAAAATAGACGAGCAGATCAAAACTATAAGTGAAGATGTAGTGAAAAACACAAAGAGTATCAATGAACTAGAACTGAAAGTCAAACTGAACTCTCTGTCTATAGATTTTGGGTTTTTGATGACTCAATTCGAAACGGAACAGGCTAAATTGTTTGATGTCATCAAGAAAGCTAAACAAGGCAGCTTAGATCCTTACGTTTTGACTCCATTGAATTTGATCGAGATGCTTCAGGAAATTCAAGGTCATCTAAGTGAAGATCATCAGTTTCCTTTCTACCCTAGCATCGATAATGCTCGTCATCTGTATAAGATCATCAAAATCGACGTTTACTTCTACAATAATAAAATTATATTCATCATGAAAATACCACTTGTCAATTACAAGAAATTTGGGATCCACAAAATAACGAGTTTACCACTTCCTTACGCATCTAATAGATTCATTTTCATTTTGCCACAAGAACCCTTCCTAATTGTGGACAATAGCTACCACGAATATCTTTTGATGTCCCATGAGAAGTTCAGAGCGTATTGTGAGGAAATTGTGGATAAACGTTATCTCTGTAGACAGGTAGATCAGTTATCTCGATCTGATTCTGATGATGATTGCGAAATGAAGCTGTTTTCGACTGCTTTGGTCATACCGCATTCTTGCAACAAGAGAGCGATAGAAATAAAACAATCCATATTTCTTCAACTACAGAAATCCAGATCCTGGATTTATGCTGCAAAAACAAACGAATCGGTTATTATTTCTTGTGCTGCTACTAGGAAAACAATCGCCTTGCAGGGGAGCGGTTTCATAAGTTTGTCAGAAAATTGTACTGGTCGAACAACTGACTTGGTGCTAGTATCTCTTCTTGAATTCACAAAGCCTGTGCTTTCCAATTATTCAGCTTCAATTAATCTCATAGATTTCGTCGATTCATCGGAAGTTGATTATCAGCAGGTCAAAGGAATCAAACGAGTAAAAAAAATAATTTCACCATTCGATTTTGATACCTTAGAAAAGAATAGCTTTCCACTTGTTGAAGCAACTGGAAGTTTGACGTGGCTTTACGTTGTTCTACCGTTGGCAATAATAATAATCCTAGCTACAGTTGGATTTTTTGTTTATAAAAAGAAGATTGACGTGGGCACAATTCTGACAATAATTTGGAATGGAATCCCATTTCTGAAGAAAAAATCTGTTGAAGATCAAGAGGACCGACTTAAACTCAAAGTTAAATTGCAAAATAAGGATGAGAAAATCACCAAGATATCGATGACAGAAGATCCTAGCTCTAATGACCCAGACGCAGAATATTTGACAGTGAGATTCAAGGTCAAAAAGCAAAACAAAGATGTATCAACTTCAAGAAATCAAATAAACATCAATGATAAATATTTACGGATCAATAGTGTTGAAAAAGTGGAAGAAGATGATGATTATTTGAAGGAATTGAGAAAGTTGAAACCAAATAATAAAAACTGAAGTGCTACCTACTACAACTGATATCACACGACTCATACTTTTATACCTAGCAACAGGGGCGGATCCAGGGGGAGAGGATAGCATGGGCCCTCCCTCGCGAACCTCATAAATATGTAAAGATGTAGGTATAGTGGATACCAGAAAAAATCTGTATATGTTCTCATAACCATCCACCTGCAACCCACATTAAATATCGAATAGCAATAATTTCAAGAGAACTTTCTTCTTTTTCTAAATATAGACAAATTTCTACAGTGTGATCTAGAATTTTTTCTGAATACAGTGATGTACAGTCGTATTCAAAAAAAAGCGTACAAGTATATTGGAGGAAGAAATTAACGTCATCCTATTTGCGTAAAACGGGCTATCGGGAAAGAATGTTTACCAAATGTTGACAGTAGAGTAATCATAGGTTCTCAAAAACACAAAGCATTGGCTGAACCAATTTTACACAACGAGAACTAGAATGCCGAAATCTTCTATGTTTAATACTTGTACGCTTTTTTATTGAATACGACTATACATGACAAGATGACTTTTGAATAGAATTAGTTGAAATTGAAAATTGATGCTCAGTTGACAAGAAATAAATATTTTCATAAAATTTTGGAATGCATCCGAGGATCATTAAATAATGTGATATAAATATCACTAGAATGAATGTCTTCAACAGAAATACCAATACTGAAGGAGGTAAGGTCCACTGGTTGAAATTAAAATGACTAAGATATGGCAAAGATAAACTACATTCCATTTTCCATAAAGAAATTCAGAATAATGAATTTTCATTCCTTGAGATAAATATCAAAAAAATATTCAGAAGAAAGGAGAACCCAACTTGTGCGATATTGATCAAGTTTCAATGTATCCTGACCGAGGAAAATGTCAAAGAAGTGAAAAAGAAGCACAAGCTTGATCTCTTGCCATACATTTCAGCTAATTATCATTCATTATGAAAAAGCTCGCCTAAAATAAACAAAAGAACACTAACTTCTGCTTCAATAGCAAAAGAGATTACTGATGATAGTGAAATAGTGATGAAGTCATTATATTTTGTTTATCTGCAAGTTTTTTCGAAATCTTCTGTAATTTTCACTTAGTTCCAATAAGAAATACTTTATTTATGTATTTGTTTCCAATGAATAGTTTGTTTGAAACTTATATAAGAAGTAGTATTTTGCATATGTAATAACTTCAAAATATCCAATTATATCATTTTACTCATTTGATGACTTACACTGATTGGCTTCTGGGCACTCCATATATACTTTGAATTATATACGTTGTCAAAATATCTGGCCATTGAAACACACTGACATCTCAACATTTTATGACAATATCTATTTCTGTCAATTGAGAATTTATTTTTTAAATTAACTAATTTTCTCCGAAAATCAACCTGTCTTCGACATATATTATTGTATTCGAATAAAAATCTAGAAAAAAAATAATACAGTGTCACATTTGACAAAAAAACAGTTGCTTTCAGTTGAAATTTGAAAAATTAATAATCAGTGTCTATACTCATTGGATGAGTAATTTCATTCGCGTGTTTGTTTTTCAAAATCGGATAGTTAATTGCGGTGGTACCACTATGGGCGTTTTTTATCAGTTAACCTGCATTTTCATGGAACATATTAAATAGTTAGATCATGTTTACTTTCAACAGAAATTTTTATACTTGAAAGAACACTGAATATCATTTCCTGTTTACTAGAATCAATTTTCCTAAAAAAAAATTTGTTCAGGAGGTATCAATAAAAATTCCTTTCCTTTTTGCTATCCTCAATGAGCCGTGACTTCCTATGCCCTCCCTAAAACATTGCCTGGATCCGCCCCTGCCTAGCAAATAGAATTATTATGATATTATCACTGTAAAACACTTCTCGAAGTTGATGGAAATATAAAAATGTTATGGAACAGCAAAAGTTATTTGATTGATATACATACATACGGTGTCCCAAGAATATTGTTTAATAATCATCCGAGTTTCTAGAATCAAAATTGATTATAAATGATTATTTATGACTAAATTTCCTCAAAGTTATACCTGTTATTTATTGATATTCATTATAGGTACAGTTATAGCTGAGTTGTAGACTACAAGCTATTGATCATTACTAGGTAGCTTAAATATATATAATGTCTTATCTTTAATCATCTCATTTTTATCAAACAGAAAAGTATACATTTCCTTAGATCTTCCATAAATGTTGGTGTGGCTCAGGGATCAATCCTTGGCCCACTTTTTCCTACTGTTTCTCAACGACCTACCATCTAACATAAGCAAACAATGTTATTTGATCAACTTTGCATGCTGATGATACAACTCTAGGTATAGCTGAATCTACCGTGAGGGACATGGGCGCCGCTAGTAAAAATTCCAGGGGGGGGCGATTTTTTCAAATTTAAAGAATTAATTGTACTATACTATATAGATATAAGTAATAGGTAAAATCGAAACCCTTTTGACTCATTTTCACTACCAGTGTGGTTTGAAGAAATTGTGAAGAGGATATAGGTAAAGTAGGTTGGGTAGGTCAGTATTGATAAGTAAAACAAGGAATTGAAAAAAAATCTATTCTTTCGAAACAAAACACCTACATTAAAACAAAAATATCACAAAAATAAAAGCTGAAAGACCCAAATTCCAAATCGATGGCCTTTTGGAATACATGTCACATCAAAATATAATAATAGCAAATCTAAATCAAAACTCTTTGGTAAATACCTATATAAAATAAAATACAAATAAACTCCATATTCAAAATGCACTTGCAAATACTGATATGGCAATATGCATGTAGGCAACAAGAATATAAATAAAACAATGTTTCTTTCGAAAATACCTTCCATTTTCAGGAACATCCTTTTTGAAGTTATAATTATCTGAAGGAATACATGGAGTGGATAGGAACAAATATTTTTGTGAATCACTCACTTGTTGCAATCCTATATAATTTCCTAAGTCATTAGTTCCTTCAGTTATTTCCTCTTGCTCTTCCCGATTTGTGCTATAAGAGCACGAGGCTACCAAGGCATCTGCTACAACCATACGCTCTCGCTCTTCTTGAAAAATGGTGAGGTCTTCATCAGTTGACTTATTTCTTTTCTTTGGTGGACTTCCATTATCTGGATTATCCTCGGAATCGCATGAGGATTTCATATTGAAAAAATTCCGGATATCTAATGTTTTGCTATATTTGTGCAATAGTACCTACAAATGGTACGATTTAAAAAGCAATAACTAACTAAGATAATATGGTTACCTTCACATTACTGTACCGAGAGGGTGTAGATCTTTCGCATCCATAGCGCACAACAATACAGATACGAGACTGATCACTAAAAAAATACTGATACTAGATAGGACACTTGTTCGCGTATCGCGTGGTGGGGTAGCTCGAGTCAAGTGCTTGCGTTCCGAGTGTTTGTAACGCCTTAGGAAGTCACATGGTTGCGACGGCCTACGGGCAAATGCACCACCACCAGGCAAGTTCACCGAACGACTAATGAAGTAATGAACTCACATTTGGGATGATCTCAGCTGATATTTGATATTTCTGCTATTTAAGTTTATCGCGTCTTGACTGAAAAAGCTAAAATCCAGGGGGGGGCGGCCGCCCCCCCTTGCCCTCAAGTAGCGGCGCCCATGGTGAGGGACATGATCCAAGCCATCAAATTAAAAATTAAAGAAATGTCATCATACTCCAATGAACTAATATTGAATGCTCAAAAAACGAAAATTATCTTGTTCAACAGAAATATCGAAATACCCAATGATTTACCTAATATACATCACTCAACTAAGTTTCTTGGTGCAACGATAGATGGCACACTTGCATGGGACGAACACACGAATTAACGTCAAAAAAATTATCCAAATCATATTTTGCAATCATGCAACTGAGATATGAGTTACATGAAAGTATTTTAATCCACAGGTATACTATGCACTTGTCTATTCTGCCTTTCCATATCTTATCACACTATGGGGAAATGTAACAGGGGTTAACAGAATATTCATTGCACAAAAAATGATTGTTAGGCTGATGTTTAGTATGGAACCACGTGATTCATGTAGAGACATTTTCGGAGCCAAAAACATTTTGACTTTCTACTCCATTTTCATTCTCAACAGTTGTCAAAAAAAATATGCAGAAACTAGAAAAAAATAATGACCACCATCAATACCATAAAAGAAACGGCATACTATCTACTAACCACTACCCACAAAAGAAGAACATTTGAAAAATCTCCAACATGATTATGCTAGTTGCAAAATATATAATATGCTTCCGAACAATCTCAAGAGATGCCGACCTCTAAATAAGTTCAAAAAGAAACTGAAAATGCAACTTTTTTTAAAAGTTTACTATTCATTACAAGAATATTTCGATGATTCTGACATGACTGAAACAACTAGTAATGACTAGAGTCACTGGATGGTATTAGTTCAAACTAATACCATCCAGTGACTTTAGTAATGACATATAGATATCCCAGTATAATCTGTGCTTTTTTAAATCTCTTTGTTCGTCTCTGATGGTCCTCATATATCATATTCTCTACATTTTATTAAATGTGCATGCCCCTTGTGATTGTTCCAATAATGTATGATGTATGTGCTTTTCTCTGGAAATCGACCATATTTACTTACCTATTTTTACCCATGTTTATATTTCGTTTCTAAACTTGAACATACCTTGCTTCTTGATTGTGAATTGTACAATTGTATATGATGATATCCTAATTATTAATTTATAAGTATCATTGTCTATATATATATTATATATATATGTATATATATGTATTTATGAATACGCATATATATAAATGAATTATACACAACAGTTGACATGTCCTATACCATGTATTTGGTCACGGATTGATAAATATTATCTTATCTTAATATCAGTAGCCTCATCAGCGACTTTAGCTGCTTCGCTTATTTTTCATCTCGAGCTACTCTTTACGTTCACGCAAACTAACAGCTAATCAATCGAATTAATAGCTACAGCCAATATAGAGGGAGAGCGAAGTTGAAAGTTTTCATAAGGAAACAGTTCAATGAATGTTTTCTTCACCTATCAGCATGTCTATTTTAATATGACCTCATCTTGAAATATAATTTTTAACATCATTTCTAACATAAGCAGTGTGATATTCGTGTTGCTGTATAGTTAATGAGTTGGAGCACAACTTCCTATGTAACTAAATCGTCATTTGTGTTGAAATAGGGTCAACACCATAAGGACAACAATGAACAGCATAGAGAAGGTCAACGAAATTATGGCAAATTTCTTGGGAATCGAGAAAAAAAGAAGAGTGAAACGATTCTGGCAGGCGGCACTGACGTTTGCTGCTCCCTACATCCTGGAGCCCCTTGGGAAGGAATTTTCCAAATTTTTGTTCGGAAATAATATGGACAACGAACGGTTGGATGCATATGGCCAAGAGATAGCAGGTTTGAGAAACAGTCAACAGGATCTGGCTAACCAGTTACAATATCAAAGAACCATGTTTCTGATCGATTCAGAGAAGAAAGGAAATCAAATCAATTATCTGAAAAGATGTCAAGATGGTATTAAAAACGACTTGAAGATGTTGGAGAGTAGCGTCAGTCTAGACTCTGCAGAAAAGGACAGAAAAATAAAGGAGTTGAATGAAATGCTGGCAAACACAGATTATAAACTGGGAGAGCAACAGCAAAAGCTAACAAAAGTTGAAAGTGACGTTGAAGACATCAAAGTGAAGGTAATAGCTATAAACGATGATTTGAAGAAGCTTAGAGAAGATGTGACAGTGAATAGAGGGAATATCAAAGCGGTTGAAATTGAAACCAAACTTAACTCATTATCCATAAATTTCAATTTTCTTTTGACTAGATTCGAAACGGAACAGAAAACTCTGCTCGATGTTATAAAGAATGCCAACAGGGGATTCCTGGATCCTTACATAGTGACACCTGTCAATTTGATAGAAATGATGAGGAATGTGGAATCAATGCTACCCGAACAAACTCGATTTCCTTTTCACCCGGATTTCATGAACGCTGCCAGCTTGTACACGATTATCGAACCAACTGTTTACCTCCACAAGAACAAAATAATGTTTATCTTGAGAATGCCACTCGTACACGCTAGTACCTTCGAAGTCTATAAAATGACGAGTGTACCAATGTTCGTCAGTGAAGATAAGTTCGTCTTCATTTTACCCAATAAGGACTACTTGTTCATCAATGATCACCATGATCCCTTTTTGGAGTATGTATTGACTTCAGCTTCAGATTTCAGGGAGTTTTGTAGAGAAGTTGGCAAGAACAAGTTCATATGTGAGCAAATACAACAAACGAGCGGGTTATCAAGCAATCTAAGGTGCGAGGTGCAATTATTTTTGAATAGGAAGGGACTATCTAGCAATTGCGATACCAGAGTTGTTAAGTTAGAAAAAACTTTATTCTTTCAGCTTCAGAAGTATGGTCATTGGATTTACCTTGCCCCCAAATCGGAAACAGTAGTACTGTCCTGTGGGAATAAAAGGCAGAATGAAGTTATAAAAGGAGCAGGTATTTTATATATATCTAACAATTGTACGGCTCGTACTTCTGACCTTGTATTGAAATCTATAATCGGTTCAAAACCACGTTTAGTAACGAAGGTATACATGCCCGAGACTGCCGTACAGATAGACCAATCGCTCATTGAAAGTTATGATGAAACTGCCCCATCTAACCACAAGCAAGTGATGTTGCAAAGTGACAGAACTGAGTTAGAAAGTATTAGTACGAACATCAACGATATTGGCAACACTGCCAAGAAGTCATCTGTCAATTATACTCTGGCGATTATAGTGGTCGTCATTATAGTTGCAGTTACCCTGTTGATGATTGTTTATAGGAAGAAAATTTGCAGATGGTCTGGTCATGAGGAGATCAAACATTCAGATAATTTTATACCGAATAACTTGACAGAAGAAAAGATGATCAATGTGAAACTGACAGAGATAGATGCTGAATAACCAGGAATGTTAGTTCGTTTTCTCAGCTGTGCACTGGCAAAACGATTCTTAATCATATTATTTGTTACTCTGTGAATATTTACTTTTGAAATGTGCTCTCAATAAAAGAGTTCCATTTGAAGTTGGATTTTTTTTATTCATGTTTCATTCGGATTCTTCGAGTCATAATATATGTTGAAATTCACATACAGGGTGTTATTTAAGTATGTGGCCAAACGTCAAGGGGCGATTATTTAAGTGATACAAAGACGAAAAGTTCATATCAACATAGGTCTTGAAATGTTTCATTTTCAAGATATAGAGTGTTTAAGTTGAAAGTATTGATTGTTGTTTTTCATGATAACCCTGTATAAGCTTTCATGATTGCAAAATTTAGTCTGATTAGTGACTGGAGAAGTCTAAAAATTTCAGAATAATACTCATTGAGATTATTGGGTAATTACAATGGGTGATTTGAGGGCACCTTTAATAGAATTTGGAGACAAATAAGTTTTTCATTATTTCCTCAGAAACTAAGTGATATACAAAAACATAATAGAGGACAAAAAATTTGTATTTTCGATTGTTTAATCTGATAAAAATATCCAAATCCAAATTTCTAGAGTTCTGGAGGCATGATATTCAAATTTGGCATATTTCATACTCTCCCATCACTCCTGGTTCCACCGGAAGCGACCCCAAATTTTCGATTCTCAAATAGGACAGACACCATGTATTTTATTACATAATCGGTTAGGGATTATCATATATCGAATTCAACGAGGCCGAGTTGGATTGGGTTATTTCAAACGATTACGAAGATATTTAAATTAATCAACATATGTGTTGCGGTCTTGGAATGGAACATCCAGTATAAAAAATTTATGAAACTTTATGTATAGGCAGTCTTTATTTCACTATCAACCTGACTCAGACATGCATGGACGCTATATTATAACCTTTATTCGTTCACCTTAACAGATTTAATTCAACATGTCAATTGGATATGAAAGGATGAATTGAGTAACCTTTATCTTCGTTGCCCTTATAATTTAATCAGGAACTTGACTGTGCAAGAATGACCTTTTCAGATTCATTGCGATTTCATTATAATATCACGATGACATTATTACGGTTAATATGTTCACTGAAAACCTGATTGGCAGCTGTTCTGGGAAATTGAGATTTGATTAACAATTTTTATTGATGTTCATGTATGGATCCAATTCCTCATTTGATATAATATTCGAAAAGTTGCAATTGATTCGAAGTAGTATCGAAATTATCGAATTAGCTGAAACCAAAAACAATATATACAAGGTGAACTCTTTGTTATAAGCTCAATAATCTGAATTTTCGTTCCTGGATTTGAGAAAAAAATCTGCCATAGGAGACGACGCCAATACAGGGTGTCCCAAAATTAGCCTGCACAACTTCACCAGCGGCTTCTTTGACCAAAAATAGGAAGGAAAGTTCCAATGAACATGAGTCGAGCAATGTCTCCTAAGGGAGCTACGGCCCCCTGAGTGGGGGCTCCTGAAGATGATATTTCTTGAATATTTCCGAAACGCCACGTGCCATGCAATTTGGTACAAGAACTAAACTTTCCATGCCCAATGCGATGAACATAAAATCAGTTGAGAGTTTCATTCAGGAGTGTATAATACAGGTAGTCCCAACATTAAATATCGCACAAATTTTTTCGTCTACATATTTTTCGACAATTCAATCATAGATTATGGAAATCCACACCATTTCACAAAAAAAGTGCTCCTGTTTCGCAGCGATCAGATGCATCATTTTCGAGTGAAATCGATTTAAAAAATATTGATGCACTCACATCATCTTATGCATCACGTTGCCAATTTTCAAATCATAGTGGCTATAAAAAAATCATGTACTTCCTTTTTACCAAACAACCTCATGGAAGCGCGAAAAATCGAAGAATTCTGATGAAGGAATAAATTCAATTTTTGTGCATTTTTTTCCATTTCCAGTACACCTCATTGCAATGTTATGCATAATATCTGAGATGTAACAATATTTTCAAATTGCTTTTACTCGATAATGATACATCTGATCGTCACGGAACAGGAGTACCTACCTTTTTTCTGTAAAGAGGTGTGAAATTTCATAATCCGAGATTAAATTGTCGAAAAATATGCATACAAAAAATTTTGAGCAATATTTGAAGTAGTCCCACCCTGTATTATACACTCCTGATATAAATTTTGGAATTATTTTATTTTCACTGCATTGGGCATGGAAATTTCAGATCTTGTACCAACTTGCATTTTTTTATATTTTTGTTTATATTCTGGTTCCCACGAAAAGGGACATCCTGTAATGTTCAGAGAACATCGTGAGAACCAAGGGCAATAAGGTAGGAATTGGTGCTCTTCTTAAATTCATGGAGGTTATATGCCTCGGGAAACACCTCCCTTGGCAATGTGTTCCAGAGCCTCGCTGTTCGTTGGATGAACGAGTCTTTGGGAAGAGATGTTCTGCAGGTCTCCGAAGTGACCACGAAGGGTCGCTGGTGAAGTTTGGCGGGCTAATTTTGGGACACCCTGTATATGGATGTTTAGGTATTCATCTTCCTATTGTTATTTTATGAAGAAGGAGAATGAATAAGATGTTCATAATCTATTAGGTTCACTAATCTGTGATGTGATTAGGGATGCCATAGTTGTGATTCTTGTGTATTGTTCAAAGAACCCTTTGCGTGAATTCAGGTAACAACTGTGTAATCTAATCTGAAAATAAAATATCGTTATATATGTACAGGGTGAGACAGCACATACGACACGGAGTTTCTATGGAAATCCATGGAATATCACGATTTTTTTTGCCGGTTGGCTGGATGTAGAATCATTGTCTGCGCGATTCAGAATTATTATGAGTTATACAGGGTTTTAGGAAGAAAAATACGTATCAAAGTTATGTTTGTTTCAAATGGAACACCCTGTATTTCATTGCATACCTGAAGAACTGATGTCATCAATACATCATGCACACTTGGGGTCTAGCGTGAATGATTACAGAGATATAGGGGTGTTCAAAATCGGGATTTTTCAACTGAGATACCAAAGAATAATACCTGAGGTAAGTGGACCAATCTTTAAATTATGTTGGTAATTTACACATATTCGAAGAAAACCGTTAATTCGAACTGATGAAAGTTTTTCCTGTAAACAACTAAACTCAATCAAACGACATTATTCAACCACTAGCCAAACCGATTATTTCTTGATTTAACGCCTTGACACATGTTTCGCTAACTGATGTTAACATCTTCAGAGAAATATTGAAAAACTATTTGGTAAGTGGTTGTCTTGACATCTTGAATATTTTTCACTATACAAGGTGTTTTTGAAATAAGTGCCCATATACAGCACATTAATATGAAACAGGCTAAGGAATATTCCCATCATATCAGATTTTTTCTAATTCTTCTAATTAACGAGAAGTGCCTACCGCATGGAAATTCAAACAGAGGTGACGTCAGATTTGTTACAGTGTGGAACTTTGGGTGGAAAAAGGGTCCTAACCCCAAATTTTAATTTAATCCTCAATTTTTTTTAATAGTGCCATTTGATAGTACACGTCGAGCTTTCTCAGTGTTCTTATCTCGATGCCACCCTGTATATTGACATATTTTGATAGAAATTATGTAGATTAGTAGATTGACAAGGAAACACATCTGAAACTATTCTCGTTACCTACCATAATCGTGTTTCTTTCATTTTTTCAGACAGTACATAATCGATGTATTCGTATAAACATAAACAAATCCTTGTGAAATTTACGTGAGTAATGGCAATATTTGTTTCAGTGAAATTACATTGTTCAGTAACCTCGTTAATCGTCTTGTTCTAATATTGATAAGCTACAGTGGCGTAATTAATATTCATCCCTGGGGGGAGTTCTAGGTCCAATATCCAATATTTAGGAAAAAGAAAAGCAATACGTAACTCACGTTGGTTTTAATAAATGTGGTGCATCATTTGGAACAATAACAAAATAAAGAAAGAAGTGTTGAGAAATAATCAAATAATATCACATATCAAGAGGTATACAAACTTCAAGATAGGAACAAAAAAAAAAATAACGAAAATTATGAATTCGACTAATTCAGTTATTGAGTAATAGAAAAATTTGAACTGTTGTATTTTCACATATTATTTTACTTAGAATCCAGTGGCGTAGTCGGACTTCCGAAATAACCTAATGCTAAGTCATGTTTTTTTAATGGAACATCCAATATATTTTCACATTCCTGTAACAATGATGCTTTGTGCTCTCTAAAAATATATAAGACTGATATGCTATTCTGTTTCTAGTTTCCAACGGATTTTTCATCGATGCATGGGCCGTTTAAATATGTGGCAACATTGATCATATCAAAATTTCCATGGTTACTGTGTTGCTGACAACACACTAGTTGAACATTCAACATTCACAAATATTCAGCACCATTTATTGACTATGAAAGCTGTGGACCTTATTAGCAGGTACTTGTCGAATAGATAAATTCATAAGATGGAGAATACTAATCCTAGATATAGAAATTACAAAAAATTAGCGGTTGGTTTCTAAAATTTCATAGTTTTGATATCCTGGATTATAATTTGCCGTTGTATGAATATTTTGATGATTTGACAGGTGGGTGACAAAGTTTGAAACAATCTGCACTCCCTTTTTTTTCAGAGCCACCTACTAATTATAGGTCCACAGCTCTTATTATCAATAAATAGTGCTGAATATTGCTAAATGTTGAATGTTGGTGAAATTAAAACAGGGTAAATATGGATGATGTGATATGGAGCCACGTATATTCAAAGCCCATCGATGAAATATCTACTGAAAAACTAGAATTTATGTAAATTCATGGCTAATACTTGAAGTTACTCATAAGTTTTATATATTTTTAGGAAGTGCAGAGCATAACTATTTCAAATGTGGAAAAATATACAGGGTGTTATATTTAAAAAAAAACATAACTATGGGTTATATCTGAATAATTTTAATATTCTGAAAATATGACTTCCACTGGATTCAACCTATATGAGCGACTGTTTTTACTTTTTCGATAAGTTGAAAGATAGCTGAGATACAAGGGGGGTCCCAAAATGCAACTTTTTCAATTTCGCATTGAATCTCAAGAACGAAGCAAGTTATGAAAATTCCGTTTGTGAATCGTAAATTTCACAAAAAAGTCGCGTTCGCGAAGACCGTGAATTTCTGTCTTTGAAAATAAGTGAGATATCCCGTAAGGACATCGAAAATGGGACAGCCTGTACAGATGTTGGAGTCGTGAGGCGGCATGACCATTGACCATGAAGAATTGATGTTTTTTTCTCATTTTCTCAATCCCTTCAAAACTACATAGTTATTATACGTTTCAAATGACAATAACTAACCTCCAATATTCGATCACAAATCAAATCCTCGGGATAATTAATATACTTATTCTATACTAGGAGTTGGAATGAATATGAAACACCCACCCTTATAGGTTACTGAGTATATTGAGAAAATAACGTAATCGTTACATGGCTTATAACATACTGGTGTATTGAACTCATTCTACAATATTGGAATTTCAACACTTCCTGTAAAATGGCCAGAATTGCTGAATAGTCGTATTCAACAGAGTCAATGTACCTACCTCCCTACCTGTACATTATACAACTTACATGGTTCAATAACATGAATTTATCGCATACATAACACCTCTCCTCTTAAGTGGAGAATGAAGATGCCAAAAGAACAACCTAACGTAACATCACAGTTATCATCTCAAAATCTATCTGGAGCCTTCAAAGTGCATCGTAATCTCAAGACTCTACCACAGATTAACAAACCTGTTCGGTCACAGATTAACGTTGCAGATTCACTAGGTTCCGAGATATCAGACGATGTAGTTGTTCTACTTATCTCGGTATTTGTAGTACTGTTATTTTCAGATGGAACAATATTGGTCGGGATGCTAGTTACTTGGGATTCAGCAGATATACTATTTCGGTTGTTCCCTTGTACATACGAGAGAACTTAGTGGAATTATTTGGAGATCATATTGTATCAGTGTCTTCATTTCCAAACCTTGATATTTCTGATTCATTTCTTGGGTTTGCGATGAGTTACCTTGATACCCTCCTGTATAAGAAGTGGATGAAGCTTGTTGACATTTTCCTGATCTGCAGGGCTGTCTTCTTCCGCCTCTAGTTGAGTAATACAGTGGCTCCGATTTGATAGTATCGTTACCCAAATTATTGCTAGACCGTTCACTCAGGGTAGCTTCCTTCGTTTGTGCCGTTTCTACCATCTTGGCTAATGTAGTAGTTTGATTAGTTGGGTCTTCTTCAAAACATCTGTCCCTAATGGAATTTTCTCCTAATCCAATGGTGACAATATCTCTCATTATTCTCTCTAGTTCAGCTGCAATACTGCAGATGGATGCTAAACTTTTTAATCTTGCGGACCATTCAGAAATTGTCTCATTGGTTTCTCTTCTCGCATTATAAAATTTCATTCGTTCTGCAAACAACGATTTTATTGGACTGAAATGTTCGCCTAGTGATGTCACTAAGTCGTCGTACGGAACTGTCTCTGGTAAATTTGGTGTGTAACTAATTCTCAATGGTACATAAATATGTTTTTTCACTCAAAGAACATAGTAACTTTGCTCTCTTCATTTCATCAGCAGTCACTCTATTCATATTAAACACTTGTTTCCAAGAAAACTGATGTTTTGTAATTGGATTTATCCAGAGTCCAGCACTGGGACCAAACGCCCCATAAGTCGAAACTTGTACGGGGTTGAGTAAGCATACAAACACAAACATCCATGGCCTAACTAGGATTCGAACCTATGTCTCGGTGGGAGTCCCCATACGAACTCAGCGCCTTCACGCTCTCGACCACCGAGCCGCCTACCTGTTTACCAGAGTGTTTCGGTTTTTCGGTGTTTCGGTTTTTCAGACAGCTCTGGAAGGGCCCAGACCCCCATGGACCCCCCCAGGTGCGGATCCAGACGATGTTTGAGGGGGGGGCCATAGAAAGTCACGGTTCAATAAGGTTAGCGCGGAAGAGAAATTATATGAGACAAATGCTTTTTCATTAAAAAAACTGATCATAGTAAACATCGAAATTACTGGTGTAAAAAAATTTTCCATCAATGTATGTAGAATTCTGTAATAAATCATATTGGATAAAAGAAGTGAATGAAAAAATATTTCTGTTGAAAAACTTGGGTACAAAAGTGAATGAAAATATTTCTCTTCAAAAATAAAACAAATGAAACAGGTGATATCATCAACATTCAGACTGCTGCAGATGCCCCTGTGAATATGCATTAATGCCAATCCATTTGACCAGTCTTGGACCATTCTGGATCTTATCCAATTTTTCAGCCTTCTGAGTGTTGAAAAACTTCTTTCAGAAGATGCAACACTTACAGGTAGGCAACAAAATAGTTCCAGAAGGATGTTTATGTTAGGAAACAAATGTTTGTTACATTCCTTCAGGGCAGTTATACCATTGTTTGGTATATTTTGATTAGTATCCCTCATTTTTTCTTCCATATATACATTTCAGAAACGATCTTCTGGAAGGTTTCATTATTCTCCCCGAAACTGTTCAAGTATATTTCCCATACCTCATAAATTTCCTCATCTGTTTTGTTTTTGGTTATTGAGATGGCACACAAAGGTGAAGTTTGTATAGGTTCAATTCATTTTCTGATATTCCTTCTTTCAGATCAATAATAATACTGGAATGAAAACAGTTATTCTGTAATGGTCATCCACTGAGGAAACCGTATTTGGTCTATGAACCATTCTCCCTGTTATTCTCGGCATCGAAAATTCAAAATTCAGTTCTTTCAATTTCTGTTTGGCTGCATTCGAAATACTTAGATAGTAGGTATTCAGAATATCATCCCTTTTATCTGGAAGCGTCTGAAGAGTGATACTAACAACATCGTCAGCTTGTTTTCTGTTTGGAGCAAATTACTAAGTGGCAGTGTTATCGAAAATATATTTGCCAAACAGCAGAGTGTAATTACAAATTCGCAATTCCTTAAAGCTGTTGCGAACTTTCTAGCTATAAAGACATACACTAATTGTTCCATTTATTCAAAATACCTACATTTTAACATGTCCATGAGGTGCTCGAGAGGGGGGCCATGGCCCCATGCCCCCCCCCCTGGATCCGCCCCTGGACCCCCTTCCCTAATTACGCCACTGATTGGCTAGGGACAGTTTTCATGTTGTACTTTCACCATTCAAAGTTGGAATCCAATCATTTTACTTGGTTCTTTGGGATTTTCTCTCCTCGTTTCTATAAAATAAAAGTATTCGTATTATTTCAATATATTTGTAGAGGGACAAATCATATGATTTGCCCCAAAATGTCACTGCGTTTAACAAATTTTTCTATCAGGGAGTCTAAAAGAAAAATCCAGTAGCTTGTCAGTGACAATTTGTTTGAAAAAATTTTTGAAGGAAAGAAATATAGATAATATATTGAAAAAATATCGAATTTTACTTATCTTTGGACGTTTCGGGACCGATTCTGCTCCCGTTCTCAACGTGTAAATGCAAATTATTTTTCTTTGAAAGTTGTGCTGCGTATAATATATATTGAAATAATACGAATAATTTTATTTTATAGAAACGAGGAGAGAAAATCCCAAAGAACCATGTAAAATGAATGTACCACCTCCTCGATTAACCTACAGACAGTATTGGAATTCAATATTTTCCAAGCTGTAAATCACGACACACAGGAAGAAAAACTTGCTGTCATCTCCACAAGTTAACCACCTTGATTGACGTTCCGCTACTCCATAGATTAAAAGGTATTTTTAATAATCTATAACTCCTCATAGTGATATAATATTTTTTTTATCGTCAGAGTTCAGATTATCGTAGTGGGTACTTAATAGACGTAGCTTGCTATAAGCACTGTATTAGTTCAACCTGCCCGTGACCTTTGGGAGGTTCCTCTGGTAGCGACAGGTCCAGACTGATGCTGAATACTCTATTTTTCGATGAATGCTGAAGGTAAGTTTGGATAGTACACATCATTATATAGGGTTCATTATTCCAGATTTTTTGGGATTTATACTCTCCTCGTTTCTATAAAATGAAAATATGAATATTATTTTAATATACGTGTAGTCGGCGGGCGTAATTTCGGCCGGAAAGTATCTTGGCTACCTGCCCAAAGCAGAGGGCCCATCTAATGACATAAGTAATTTCGGCCGAGGAAATTTCGGCCGAGGGTACATGTTATGATTATGGGAAATATTGGTTTATGGGTTTACCTTTTACCTATTATTAAAGATATCCTTCCACATATCATTTATTACCTACTTAAATAGCTATATAATATATTGGGTCGAGTTAGGTCGGATTGTTCAGAAAAAGTAGTCTCCTTCTTATGCAGAAAGGATATTTTCCTGCTTTATATTTTAACCTACGTATATACCTTTATAATATATTAGGCCGAGTTAGGACAGATTGTTTAGAAAAAGTAGTCTCCTTATGCAGAAAGAATATTTTTCTTCCCCGTATTATAACCTACTTATATAATAATAATAATAATAAATCGTCTTTATTCATCACAACAAGTTACACAACACACTAATACCTCATCAACTGGTTTCAATCAACAACCTATTTCATTTTGCGGAAACAAAAATTCCATCCATACAAATTCAAAATATGTCAAGCGCTAAAACCAGGCGATGACGAAATGCGCAGGACATTCTGTGAGTGGTATACCAGGAAATTTAAAAATTTTGCAAATTTCCCGCTAACAATCATCTGGACTGATGAAAGCATGGTCACTAATCATGGTATCTTCGATAGAAAAAATACACATTATTGTTCACGAGTCACGAGAAAATGAACATTTATACATTACAGCGAGACACCAACACCGTTTAGGCTTTAATAAGTGGGTTGCAATATTTGGTACACGAATTATTGGTCCTTTTATTCACCATGAAACACAGACTTCCTAACGTTATAGAAATTTGCTTGAAAATCATCTTGAGGAAGCTCTGGATGATTTACCGATTGCGGAAGTTCCCCTAACAACACGAGTACATCCTAGGGACTTCCCAGGGACGTCCCTAATTTCAAATAAGGACATCCCAGGGATATCTTTTCTGGGACAAAGTACATACTAGGGACGTTCCAGGGACATCCGCTTTCAGACAAAAAGGACATCCAAGGGATGTCCCTCCTGGTACGTCACTGGGATGTACCGAGTACAAAGAAGGGATATCCCTAGGACGTCCCAAGGATATCCCAGGGACATCCCTTCGACAAAAGAAAAAAAAAATGTAGGTCTAGTTGGGATTGAACCCGGGACCTTCAGCTTATCAGGCACGCACCTTACTCCATTGGCCAATATGCCTTCTGAAGATTCATGTATTGAACAGTTTCATAAACAGGACAACTACAGAAACCTGGATAAATAAAACTGTTAGGATTCGGGTATAATTATTATCATTCTTGGGTGTTTGAAAATGAGGGGCATTATGCATTTACGATCTCTGTTTGCGGAAAATGGTCATTTCTTGAGAAGTTTTGAGACTATATTCTTTATTTTCATCACAATTATTTTCCGGAAGAAATACATTTTCGAAAAAATTCGACTCAATATTTTGATGATATTGAATGACTCTCTGATGTGAAGAATGGATATCAGATATTCCAGGGACACGAATGGGATAACCTAGGGATGTACCGGGTGAGATGTCCACTGGACAACTACTGGCGGGACATCCCCTGGATGTCCCAATCATTTCCTTGTACCGCGGGACATAAAAGGGACGCACCTAGGACATCCCTGTGTTGTTTGGGTCAGAACTGTTGGTTTCAACAAGATGGCGCTCCGGTACATAATTCCAGAGAAGTTCGTGCGTTTTTATCCAGAAAAATGGATTGGTACTCATTCTGCAGTCCCTTGGCCGGCGCGGTCACCTGATTTGACACAACTGGATTTTTTTTAAGGGATTTATCAAAAACTTTGTACACGCAGATAGCTTTGATGATGAAGAAGAACTGAGGGACAGTGTCATCGAAGCATTCAATAGAATAACCCCAGAAATGCTTAGTATTGTCTTAGAAGCAACTGTGAGAAGAGAATATCTTTGTTCAGAAAATGATGGTTATCATTTTGAACATTTCTTATGAATGTTTCTGTGGGTATTGTCAAAGTTAAGTTCTTAAAGTAATTCGTGTAAGAATTCATCAACAATATTAAGCGCTGCATTGAATGATGCAGTGAAATATTCTTCATTCACTATTCAGTATTGAATAACTAATCCATCAATGTTTGACACTAAATGATCAGAAATAAATGGAACTGATGGCACTTTTCCTTTGGAAGTTCGAAAAAACATTGATGATGAATAGAAATAGGTTGAAACACATTCGAATCACCTTGTATAATACATGGTTGAATTCAGAATGAAAAATCTTTCAGAATCTGTGAAAAATTATCAGGACCGTATTTAAAAAACAAAAGTTGACGACGGTTCTACGGATACGAAACGTCGCATAAAAAAAATCAGAATAACCACGTTAAACGTCATCAAAAGTTGCTATGGAAAAGTATTTTCAGGTTTTCTGTATCTCTAATAATAACGGAGAAAAAAAATTAAATAGATATTCCAAAAATTCACTTTTCTCGATATAACTAAAAAACTAAAAATAATTTTAAAAATTTTCGAAGGCTCTTGATATGAGCCTCCGAATGCGCAACTTTTTCCCCATTTAACCGACTTCGTATCTCCTACCGTTTCCGAGATCCCCATGCTGTTCATCCTTATCTTGGACAGACTGTATATAAAACAAAGTTCGATAATGGCGTTATTTCTGAAAGATATACAGGGTGAATTTACCTTTTCGCATGCGCCCTGTACAACCGTCCTAACAGTTGTGAGGGAAGTTGCGCTGGTGAATTGCGGCGACTCCGTAGAGATTGTCAGAAAACATGGCGTTTTTTAAATCTTACGATTCCCATGTAACGGCACGGCGAGTTTTTCAAAAATTTGGGACACCACTTTCCCGAGAAAATCGCCAGATCTTACGTCCCTCGATTTTTTTTTGTGGATAAAGACAACAGTCGACAGGCAATTAACAACATTCCTATTTAAATAGGAATATGTGTCAGCGGGTATTCCAACATTCGAGAGAATCATTGGAGCAGTGATGAGAAGGATGGTATGGTATTATAGAAGATAACTCACAAAATATGTGTCCATTTTGAAGAAACGTCACCATTTCGAAAAAAATTGCCTATTTTCAAAGAACTGTATCTTGGGAACCAATAGCTGAATAGGGCTCATCTTGGCCTCTAATTATAGCAAATTTAGTTTAATTCAAAAGATATTGAGCGAAAACTGAAAAAAGTCCGAGAATTTCCATGTTTTTTGGGTATACCGCCGCTCGCACAGCAGTTTGGAAATTGCAAATCTGGTTTTTCAATATTGGTTTAGGTCCTAACAACATATAAAAAACGAAAACGACCGGACCTTTTGCAAGCACGACTTTCATGTTCAACTTTACTGAACTAATATAGAAACAATATCAAATCTTCACATAGCTTTGGAATTTTCGGGACCGAATCTGCTCCCGTTTTCAACATAAAAAATTGTTATTTGAATAGAAAATTCATATCTATCTTGGAACTTTTCAGTTCGCGTCATTTGGGTCAACGGCATTCGCGTGCGGAGAAGTATCACTTTCCGCACTTGTTAGGAAACTTATACAATTGAGCATTTACTATGAAAGAAGACTTGATGTTCGGAATATTTTTCATGTTGGATATTATTTGTTTGACTAAATTGTGTTCTTATCATTCATGCATATGATTATGATTATTTTCTGTTTTGGTCTTGGGCTGGGCGGGTGGTAGTCATCAAGCTCCATAGCTATGACTCTTGGAGCCACAGTGTTGAAAATGAACGAAACTGAAGAAGCGATCAATTTGTTAACATATGTGACCTTTCTATCCTATTCTAGATATTTCACAGTCTACAATTATGAAAGGAAAGATTAATTGTTTGATAAGCTCTTGGATTCTCCTTTCATCCATAACCCGCGGATCTTCTGGAGAAAACTATAGTATAACGAAGATAACGTCCAGTTCTGGATTGTACTACGAAAAAATTGGGGATGTGCTGCTGTCCAATAACAATAATTGGGAATTTGTAACATCAGTGGACTACAAGGGATATCTCATGTTTTATGAATATTTGCACACTCAGGCACAAAAATTGGATGTACTTTGTCAGGAGTCATATCATTGTGATGAAAGGTGAATATTATCTGCAGAGTTCGTTATAGAAAAAGTATTTATCAACAATTATGATAAGTGAATGAATTGAAAACACTCAAAAGATATAGATAACAGTTTTTCCGTTAATGCTTTGATTTCAATAAGTATATAGGGATATCATGAACATTCGTTGAAAAATGTTTGTCTGATAGGTATATTACAAAAAAATAGAAGATAAGAATTGAATGGAAGTTCGTGCAGAAGAATTTGAAAAAGAAACTGAATATTTTTTTAAACTGCTTCATATTATCTATATATACGCGTGATGGAATGGTCTACCGAAAATGGGAAGAGATATCTGCATTATCTGCAATAAATATACGAATACTCATACAGTGTTATCAATTTTGCATCATCCATCCGCATCAATTTGATGAATACTTATATACTTGAAGTTTTTTCGAATACTTCTGGTTCATTTTTGCGATTTTCAAGTTATACTTTTTCATATGATTTTTGAATATTGAAGATGATTGGACAAAACACAAAAAAAGAAGTCCTCGGAAATATTTGACAACTCAATATTTATGAATTTGATGGTGATGTATTTTGAATGTATTCACCACACTGTATGCAGTGTGAAGATAAAAAATTCCCCATTATGCAGATGCCTGAAACGGTGGGAGATAAGATATTTTTGTTGAATTTGAAAAATATGCTGTGCATGGTATTGAGATTTTCTGAAGATATAATTTTTATATTGAAAACACAATATTGCATCGAAGAAGAAGACGATACTCCTATATTGTGGATAATAAGTCGCTTAGAATGGAAATATGTTTGGTCGCAAGTGGAATTTGATTATTTTAAATTAAGTATTGAGAAAATTCGAATCTGATTACGAATGACTCTGTTTCATTCCATTCAACCAAAACTTCAGCTTCATACAATACTTCTGCAATATCTCCATCTGAAAGCCATCCTAATAGAATTAATTAATAACTATTAACACTGTGAATCTTTTCGCCCTTGGAAGATCAGCATCAGCAATTTATTCTAACCTAATTCAGACTCATTCAAGTTACTGATACCTGATGCCTTTTTATTATAGGTTCAGATCAATCAAAAGTGGATTGAACAGGATAGATGAAATAGACGAGAGTATCGCGAACTTTCTTGGAATCAGAACTGAAAATAGGCGAGTGAAAAGATTTTGGGAAGCAATCGGCAATTTCTATTCGGAGGTTGGGGAAGGGGTTGCCCGAACTATCTTTGGTGGAGGGAATAACCAACCAAATCTAGCCATCTACAACAATCAAATAGCAGGTCTATATTCCAGTCAGAAAGATATTGAGAACAAACTCAATCAACAAACAACACTGTTTCTAGTGTATGCTGAAAGAAAGAATCATCAAATCCAGTGGTTGACGAAAACTCAGAATGAGATTCAGAGCAAAATTAGATCTCTTGAAAGTGATTTCAGAAAGGATGCAGTCGAAAAAGAACAAACAATTAAAGAACTGCAGAATATGTTGGATGAAACAAACAACAAATTGAAAGAGCAAGAGGAGAAACAGAAAAAAGTGGAAGGGGATGTCGAAGGTATAAAGAACAAAATTCTGGAAATAGATGAGCAGATCAAAACCATCAATGAAGATGTATCGAAAAACACTGAGAATATCGATCAATCAGAACTGGAAATGAACATATATAATTTGTTTACTGATTTCGAGTTTTTGATTATTCAATTCCAAACGGAGCAGGCTAAAGTGTATGATGTCATCAAATATGCAAATGAAGGCAGCTTGGATCCCTATGTCTTAACTCCACTGAACCTAATCGAAATGCTTCAAGAAATTCAAGGACATCTAAGTGAAGGTCATCAGTTTCCTTTCTACCCTAGCATCGAGAATGCACGTCATCTTTATAATATCATGAAAATCGAAGTTTACCTCTACAATACCAGAATTATATTCACCATGAACATACCACTTGTTAATAACAAAAAGTTCGGCATTCACAAAATAACGAGCTTACCACTTCCTTACGCTCCTGAGAGATTCGTTTTCATTTTGCCACAAGAACCATTTTTGATTGTGGACGACAGCTACCACGAATATCTTTTGATGTCCTATGAGAACTTCAGAGCGTATTGTGAGGAAATGGTGGATGAACGATATCTCTGTAAGCAGGTTGATCAGTTATCTCGATCTGATTCTGATGATGATTGCGAAATGAAGCTGTTTTCGACTGCCTTGCTCATACCGCATTCTTGCAACAAGAGAGCGATAGAAATAAAACAATCCATATTCCTTCAACTACAGAAATCTAGATCCTGGATTTATGCTGCAAAAACAAACGAATCGGTCATTATTTCTTGTGCTGCTACTAGGCAAACAATCGGCTTGCAGGGAAGCGGTTTCATAAGTTTATCAGAAGATTGCACTGCCCGAACTAGCGAGAATTCGACGCTAGAATATCTGTATGAATTCAGAAAGCCGGTGCTTTCCAACTATTCCGGTGCAATCAATCTCATGGATTTTGTCGATTCCTCAGAGATTGGTGATCTGCTGGTGAAAGAAATAAAACTAGTGAAAAACATAATTTCGCCATTCGATTCAGAAACGTTGAAGAAGATAAGTTTCCCAATCGTTGACACATTTAGAATTTTGAAGAGGAATATCATTATTGCATATCTGCTATTAGCAATAATAGTCTTTGTAACTAAAGTTGCATGTATTATTAATAAAAAAGATATCGATGTTGAAAGATGGGAGACAATTCTTTATAATGAGGTCCGATTTTCGAAAAATGAACCCAATGATGATGACCAAGTCAGAGTTGAATTGTACAATCAGGAGGAGAAAAGCATCAAAAAATCGGAAAATGAAGATCCTAGTTCAAACACTCTTGATGTTGAAAACTCAACATCGCGATTCAAGATCCAAAAGCAACATTACGGTGAATCATCTCTAACGAATCAGATAAAGAATGAAAAATATTTTGAAGAGAATAACGGTGCAAAACCGGAATATGCTTATATAAAGGAACTGAAGAGAAAGGTGAAAGTATTGAGGAAATAATAGTATTTTCTAATGATACATTTTTACTCTTACTCTTGTTATGTGACCCATTCTTACATATACCTTATATGAACAGAATCATTTTTATTATTATTTCTGCCACCAATTAGCAAGGGTTTAATTTCCATTTGCCCATTTTCTATGTGTATACCTGGTATACAGGTTCCTAAAAAAATATCAAAGACTCCGATCTTCTGTACGGAAAAAATGAAATTGCTTCTAGTTTTTATAGGTACGAACACACTTTTCACTCCCAAAACACCATGCACACAAGAATTCCTTCGATAAGTTTTGCTAAACAGTCAAGAAATGATCTATGGTAAGAGTCCATGGTATCTCGAAGTGGAGTGAATAGATTCACTTCAGATGTGTGTCTTGTTTATGAGTCAAGGAATGACTGTTGATAATACCCCAAAACTTCGAAATGACAGACATTTTTCAATATTTTTTCTACAAGCGTGCGTGATTCACCCTCTAATTCACCCTATCTATACCCGCATGCAATTTAGTTTGGGAAGTGCCATTTTCATATAATATTCCCACGAAATATGAGTGGTAGCTGACACCATATGAAAATTTTAGGTTTTTTTGTTGCAGTATTCAGTGAGTTTGTACAAAATTATCCATCAAATTGCACTATTTATTGTGAAAATAAAGAAATATTGAAAAAAAAAAGATTGTTATATAAATCCCCCTATAGCCTTCAATTGATCTGATGTGGGAAACAGTTGTTGTCATGTCAATCAAAACACAAATTATTTTTCCGCAAATCGCTAGGAAATTTTTACATTCCTGTCAAAATTTCTTGAAGAAAAAGTCAGGACTTCCTTACTGTAAGGAAATGTCATTTCCTTACTGTAAGGAAATGATATTTCCGTACAGTTGTTAGTGTTCTACATAAATGATTGAAAACACATTGCTTATTATTATTTTCGTACTTTTCTCTTGATTTCTTTGGCAATAATTCTAATGAAGCAGTATTCACTGCCTCAAAACCAGCTCTGGAGGAGTCCCAGGAATGGAAATTTCATCATCACTTATCATTTTACTTTCGAGAACACCAGCAATTAAATTTATAAGCGTCAAGTTTGACAATTCAACCTCAATACGTTTCCATAGTAACCCAAGTAATTTTATCAGGAATTTCAAAGCACCATTTATTTGGGAATAAATTTATCGCGTTTTTTTTAAATCAATAAATACCTGTCGAATTTTAAACGATTTGCGGAAAAATAGTATGTTTACCTCGTAGGAAAAGCCACATTCCTGGACTCTGTGTTGCTAAGTCTCGGCTTGCGCCTCGACTAGCAATCTTCACAGTCGCCCAGAAATGTTAAGCTTTTCCTACCCGGTAAACAATGTACTATAGTGTAATCCTTTGAGTGACAGAAAGAGCATTACTATCATTTTAGATTCAGTGGAATTGCGATGAAAAACTTCCAGCTACACATGCGATACAGATGAGTTATTGCCAACGAAGTCTTGAGAAAGGTATGAGAAGCACTACACGGGATTTATTGAATGGTGCAATAGTAAAAAAGTAAAAACAACAAATGAAGAAGATATGTATTTTTGACTCATTTCCTAGAAATGTTTTAAACCTATAGAGGCAGGCCAAACACCATGGGCATGCTGGCTTCCGCAATAAGCTTACCTACATAATGTTTCAAACGGTACATAAAATAGATAAATCACTAATTAATTATAAGGAGATAAAGAAAACAGAATTTCAATTTCCATTGTTTTAGTCAAAGAAAACAGAAATAAGAACTAATTGATCCTAAATATAGCAAATACTGAAGTATGAATGGCTTGATTTTCCGCAATTTCTATATATGGATTAATGAATTCGTGATCGGATTTTTTCGATAAATTTTTCTCAAATTGAAATGAACGCGTCAAAATTGATAGTTTGAAGAATGAGTGACAACCGAGAACACATTAGATTCATGACAAGTATGTATACGCCCAAGTAGGTAAAATATTGTACTATATTCGTATCGAAAATTCATATTACCATAATCGATGGGCCATCAAACTCGGCCTTTGGCCTCGTTCGACAACTTTCCCATCTCATATTGTAATATGAGTCTTTACGATACTCGTATCGTAAACATCTATTACCGCACTCGACTGCTGCTGATAACGAACTTAAATATGTCACAAAATCATGTAAAAACATTGTATTTTATAGAATGGCACCTGTGCCAATCACTACCATGAGCTGAACAATTGAAAACTTGCACTTTCCTGTGCGGTAATTTGCACTTAATTTCGCGATTTATTAACGAGATAAGAATTCGCGAAAATCACGAATCAATAGATGGCTCTATTTAACGTCAAATCAACGTCAAATTTCAAACTGAGTATGAACAACAAAAACATTGCCGTATGCACTCATTGCAAATTGGGTATTTCGAAATCATTTTGCGAAATAGTGAATAATGAGTTGACTTTGTGAAATACGTACAAGGTTTCCAGTATGGAAAAAATTACTTTTTGTGCAGAGAAATTGCTATTTGAATGTGAATAATGGTGGTATTCATCATTGATATCACACTACAATTCCACAGTTTTCAAACATATGGAATGGTGGGAATGGTCCACTCAACACTTGCATGGACTGGAAGCAATCAGCTATTACAAATAGGTATGAAGAAATAATTGAATTCATCAAGAAATATCACTGGCTTTTATGAAGGAGATGGAATTCTAGTGAAGGGGCTGGGAAAAGAAGATATGGTTGGAGAGGCTGCTCAGATTGAACAATATCATCGATTTACATAAACAAGGATCTCCAGCAATTGAAGACTTGAAGTTATTCTCAAGATCGAATCATTGCAACCAACATTTATACAAGGATTCCAACTTTGCTTCAGAAAATGTATATTATATTATTATAAGGTAGGTACTGGCTTCTTCATTGTAAACAATAAAAGTTCATGCAATAATTCGAGTTCTTTCATCAGGGAAAAATGAGGTTCTGGAATATGCACTTCAACAAATAAATTATTTTCAAATAAAACACAGAAACTCAAAACAATGGTCGCCATATTTGTTGTTCATACTCGCAAGGCTTGTAAAGTTAGCCACCAGAGGCCGCACACTTCGTGATTTTCGCGAATTATGCCATCCGATTCCAATTGAATGGCAGATCTTAAATGGCAGACATCAAAAACCTACACGTGCCACCCCTTAATACTAGAGTCCCTGTATGTATTTGACACTTTTGCTGTAATTGATCATTCTAGAACACGTGATTTTGACATGGTTTCTTGAGGGGCACACAAACTATCTGTTAGGTTACCTTTGATGAGCATTGCCCAGGCCGTCCCTCTGCCACATCCACAATATATTAACAGTTTCACCAAACAAAATTATGAAATTCTTTCTGGTTCCAACTCGGATTCCAAGGAAAACGATCCCACTAATTCTGGTTTTCTATGACAGATCTTGACAAAATACAATGTTTGCCCCTTAGCAACCTGTCAAATGACGTAATTCTGGAATGATTAATAAGAGTACGGACACTATGACAAGCAGTGACAGAAGGCATAACCCTAAAAAATTTGAAATGACATGAATAATTTGGCGGGCACTGACAGTTCATGAACGTACATGACATTAAATTATTTGAAAAATTTAGGTTTTCAAAAATTAAAATGTCTAATTGTGTAGTGGAGAATTGCAAAAATGGAAGCGAGTCCTTTCATTTATTCCATTTTCCCCATTCTAACCAACAACAGTTACAGAAATGGAAAGAAAATATGAAGCCGCCACTATGGAAATTGAATTCAGGTAGCAAGATTTGCGAAGTAAGTACTCAATAACTGCTAATGCAAGAATACAGGCAATTTTGAATCGACTCAAGACCCAAATTGATAGTTTCGGAATATATTTCAACCAAAATTATAGTCAATTCCAGTATTTTAAAACGCGAATCAATGTTGTTATCTGAATCAACCTTGTATGTATAGTCGTCGGAAATGTGTCGTGTTCGAACACAGAAAATTCTGAAGTAGTCTATACAAAGTGATGGAATGATGGAATGGAGAATAACGTAGTCTTCAGTAGATGAAACATAATTTTATCTGTGGTACTAGTGAAATAATGAAGTGTTACTTCGTCATGAGGATGTCTGGTGTCTGACGTCGAAATGGTTTTGTAATTTCTCGGATCGAAGGTCATATAATGGAGGTACGCATTTTTCATCAATATGATGCATTTTCGTTAAGATAAATTATAAAATTCAAGAAATTACGATTGTAGTTCCAGAAGTATGAAATTCATATTGATTTTTGACGATGGATATACAAGGTGCGATGGAAAATATGTCTAGATTGTCTCGGAATGAAAAAGAATATGTTCAAACGTGATGCAAATCGCTATGTTTCGAAAAAGAGATATAGTGTCGGTCATTGTCGGAAATTGTTGAATGTATAGATACAGTGACTTTTCATGAGGCTTATACGAGGAAATATGAAATGAATGAATGAATATTCATAACACGATTATCATAGCTCTGAATTTGAAAATTTCGAAAACGTTTCGAGAGAAAGCATCAATTAAGAGGATACAGGTGAGAAAAAAATCTGTTCAAACGGTAAGGTGACGACCATGATGCAATTTTACACCCATTCAATTATCACCCTGTAGCGATGTTATCTGAAATTAGAGAAGTTTTCTTATTGCCACAACAAACTGTCAAGAGATTAGGCTAATCATCGGTGGAAACCGATTTGAAATTGGTAAGGAAATTCGTGAGTTATTCTACTTTGAATTCAGGCTATATTTTTGACCACGACGTTATCAATGTTGAGCAGTTTAGTTGTTTTCCACTCTCTCCTAAGACAGTCTAGATCAGGGTTTCCCAACCTTTTTTTTTCTTGAGGCTCCCCGGACTACTAATAATATTTTCATGCCCCCCCCCCCCTTTACTTTTACAATAAATACAAAAAACGCACATTATGTACTTAAAAGCCTTTTATTTTAATTCTAATAAATAAACAATGATTTTGCACACTCAAACTGATTTTTCAACAAAAAATGTACACCGAAACGTCAAATTTGTCGCAAGTGCGGGAATGAATTTCACAGATGCTTATGCGCGTCCGGTAGGTACTCAATTGTTTTGTAAACTGATGCAGTGTTGCCAACTCAGATTTCCAAAACTCTCAAATTGGCCACCTAAATGACACCAAAAAACCATTAAACCGAGTGGTAGTGAAAAAAAATGCGCCGCAGGCGAAATTTTTATCAAATCTAGTGATTTTCTGGTGGTTTCAACTTCAGTCCAGATCACTTGATAACACCAGATAAAAAATCAGATCAGGTGAAAAAAGTTTTTTCTTTAACAGAAAACAAAACGAACAAAATAAATTATTCATAGCATCAATGACATACTTTAGTATATTATGATACATAAAAAAACAAGAAGTTAAAAGCAACATTGGAGATCGTACAAAAACAGTCGAAATTGGACATAACCGTAAGAAACTGATTTCAGTTAAAACTAGTTTTTCTATTGAAGCTCTTCTCTCGTATTACATTGTAGAAATCAAAATATCATATCAAACAAAGGATATTTCGGACATGTCCCCGACCACCAGAATTCACCATTTATTTGAAAAAATTCACCAAAATCAACACCATCCACTAGATACCATATTTTCTCA